ATGCACATTTCAAAAGTCTCATATTACATTAGCTTTGTATAAGAATTGATTATAAACCTGAGACGACAAATCATAATACTCAATCACAAATTCTAATACTCAATAACGGTGTTTTATGCTGACTGAAAATGTTTTGATGCTCAACGAACAAAACTTACAATTTTCATATCAATGCTCATCTTGTAAGTTACATATGCTCATTTGTATAAGTTTGATACTCATTAAAAATTGATTAATGCTCATTTAACAGAAATCGTGATTTTCATTAATCTCAATAAAGGAGGTTTGATGCTTAATGAAAATGTCGTGATGCTCAACTAACAAAGCAACTAACAAATTCATTAATACTCATTTTGTAAATTATTTGTGCTCATCTGATACTGATCATATGCTCATTTTATAAATGTCATGTAAAAAATTCATATTTCAAAGTATCATGATACTCAATATTATACTTTTAATACTCAACAGAATAAATGTAATGCTCAGTAAAAGTTCATGAATGCTCATTTGAAAGAAACCATGATTTTCATCTCAAAAGAAGAGGTTTGATACACAATGAAAATTTTGTGACGTATAAGTAACAAATCTTACGATTTTCATATTAATGAACATGTTGTAAGTTACGTATGCTCGTTTAGTACTAATGTTATGCTCATTTTAAAATGTCATATCAATGCATATTTCAAAAACATCATATTACATTAAATTTGCATATTGAAATTTATAGGAGTGTATTATAGATATAATTTAATAAGTTTTTATAAAAGAAAAAATTAGAAAAAAATTGAATTAGAAAATATGAAGCAGGGATCATGAAACTCAATGTTACGCTCCTAATACTCAGTAAAATAGCTCAAATGCTCATTAAGCGTACATTATTGCTCATTTAGCGGAAGTCGTGACTTTTCACTTAAATTACAAAAATGCCACCGATTTTTTTGTCCTGTATCAATTATTGGACTGTCTTACCTAATTGGGCTAGGGTACGTACACCCGGATGTACCATATAGGCTCCGGATTTGATGCTCTTTATTCAGATTCACACCTCTCTTGTGGATAATTATAAAAATCTTTTCTCTAACCAAACCAAATCCCAACTTACTCTTAGGTAGAGGCTTGTACGTCCAAAAGGTTGAATCCCCAACCCCAAGGGCCCCCCACCCCGACCCGATAGGATGGTAAATCACGGTGACTCAGTCAGCAAAGCGGCAGTAGGCCTTTACCCGTGCGCACCAGAGGGCCAACCTTATTTCAGGTTCTGAAAACCGCCTTTTGGCCGCTACGGGATTCGAACCTTGGTCTACGTCCAATTTTTCCCACCACTCGACCAACTGAGCTACCCGTGCGGGTTAGGTAGAGGCTTGTACATACGCTTTAGGAATGTCAATCCTCTAGCATACGACGGAGTAGCTCAGGATAAGAGTGTATTCATGTTTTTTTTTTCAGTTTTGACTCAAAACCAAATACGGAACCAAAGAGAGAAGTTTGGTTCGGTTCGATTTGATTTTTCATTTCAAAACTTGAAATCATGATTTGATTGATTCGATTTGTTTCGGTTCAATTTCGATTTTTTCGATTTTTTATTAAGAAAAGCCATTTGATTTAAAATGATACAATAGTTAGGAGAAAGCAAACATATGAAAAAATGGCACTAATATTACCAATGATCTTTTGAATTCGAAGAATATAACTAGTTTTGAGATTTCCATGAAAGTGACTTTAATATAGGTTAAATCATTTAGTTCCTTATGTTTGACATTTTATTTTTTGATTGCTCTATGTTAATATAGGTTAAATCATTTAGTTTGTCACAATAAATCCTTAGTGGTTAACATAGGTGGTGACTTTGACACTTCTTTAACATAGATGGTGACTTTGACACTTCTTAAAGAGTATAAGGATTAATATAAACCAAATGACATTAAACTTAGGGTATTATGTTTGTCTATTAAATAACTTTGTGTGCACAATAAAGAATAGACAAAACATACTTAAGGAGGGATTCTAAATCAAGTACTTGAAATTATTAAATAAGATAACTAATCAGACACTATGCTATTAATTCCTAAACAGGATCTTTGATCAAGCCCATATTAGTGACATGTCTTTGAAAAATACTGGGCGGAAGTCCTTTGGTGAGAGGATCTCCTAGCATATCATTTGTGCTGATGTGTACGATACAAATTTCATTTTCCTCCACTCTTTCTCGAATGAACAAATATTTTGTATCGAGGAACAATCCCGCTCCACTCGAACTGTTATTGTTTGAGAAGCTCACGGCCGCAGAATTGTCACAATAAATCCTTAGTGGTCTTGAGACGGAATTCACTACTTTGAATCCTTTGATAAGATTCCTTAACAACATCCCATGACATGTTGCGTTGTACATCGCAACATATTCAGCCATCATTGTTGAAGTAGTCGTAAGTCTTTGCTTGTGGCTTTTCCAAGATATTGGCCCACCTGACAGCAAGAAACTGTATCCCGATGTAGACTTCCTATCGTCTTTGCACTTAGCAAAATCGGAATCGGAATATCCAACCAACTCTAAATTATTAGTCCTCTGATAAGTCAATTTGTACTCCTTAGTCCCTTGAAGATACCGCAAAACTTTCTTAGCGGCTTTCCAATGATCTAATCCTGGGTTAGATTGATATCTACCCAACATACCGGATACATATGCGATATCTGGACGAGTACAAACTTGTGCATACATCAAGCTTCCAACTACGGAAGCATAAGGAATGAGTTTCATTTGCTCTTTCTCAACCTCGGTTTTTGGGCATTGGAATGACCCAAAAACGTCTCCCTTAACTATTGGAGCAACTGATGGAGAGCATTGTTGCATGTTGAAACGTTCTAAAATGCGCTCAATATATGCCTTTTGGGACATGCCTAGCGTCCCTTTGACTCTGTCTCGGTGAATTTCAATGCCTATAACATAAGAAGCTTCACCTAGATCTTTCATGTCAAAATGGCCAAATAATAAGCGTTTTGTTTCATGCAACAAATCCAAGTCACTACTTGCTAATAAGATGTCATCAACATATAACACAAGTATGATGAATTTGCTCCTACTCATTTTGAGGTAAGTGCATTGATCTACTTTATTTTTAATGAAGCCATTTGATTTCATGACTTCATCAAATTTAAGGTACCATTGTCGAGATGCTTGCTTGAGCCCATAAATAGACTTCTTCAGTTTACACACTAGATGTTCTTGACCCTTAGAAACATAACCTTCTGGTTGTATCATATAAACATATTCGTGTAAATCTCCATTTAAGAAGGCTGTTTTGACGTCCATTTGATGTAGCTCAAGATCAAAGTGAGCTACTAAAGCCATAACGACCCTTAGGGAGTCCTTTCGAGAGACGTGTGAAAAGGTCTCTTGATAATCTACATCTTCCCTTTGAGTGTACCCCTTGGCGATCAATCTTGTCTTATATCTTTCAATGTTTCCCTTTGCATGTAATTTAGTCTTGAAGACCCACTTGCTTCCAACGGGCTTATGACCCTTTGGTAACTCAGCAAGTTCCCAAACATTGTTCTTCTCCATGGAAAGAAGTTCCTCATTCATGGCTTCTTTCCAATGAGTCGATTGGTCACAATTAATGGCATCAAGGAAAGATATAGGATCTATGACTTTCCCTAAATCAAAGTCAGCTTCTACATTCAAATATATCAAATATTCATCAAAATTTGTGGGGCGTCTGACCCTTTGAGATCTCCTTAAGGGTTGCTGATTTTCCGGAATTTCATTAGTAACCGGTGGAGTTGGTTCAACATTGATTGGAGTTTCATTCGCCTCTTGACTTGTTGCATCATTATTATGAGGTGTATGACTTTCACTATGATCTTCAAGTGAGGAGTTAGCTGGAATGGGCAGTATAATAAGTGGATTTATTCCATTGCCCTCTTGAAGTTCATCACAAAAGTTTGAACCACCACTACTCCCACTAATGTTAGTATTCTCAAGGAATTCAGCATGTCGAGTCTCGACAATTCGGGTGGTATGAGATGGGCAATAGAACCTATATCCCTTAGATCTCTCAGGATAGCCAATAAAGGAACAACTGATGGTTCTCATGTCAAGTTTCTTTATTTGAGGATTATACACTTTTGCTTCAGCCGGACATCCCCACACTTTTAGGTACCGTAGACTAGGTTTCCTGCCCGTCCAAAGCTCATATGGAGTCTTAGGGACAGATTTAGATGGTACTCTATTCAGTATGTGGGTTGCTGTTTTTAAGGCCTCGGTCCATAAGAATTGGGGAAGATTAGAGTTAGCCAACATACTTCGGACCATATCCATAAGAGTCCTGTTCCGCCTTTCGGCAACCCCATTTTGTTGAGGGGTGCTGGGCATGGTATATTGGTTGATGATCCCGTGATCTTTACAAAATTCATGGAAAGATCCAGGAGCTTGACCAATATCAGTGTGTCTACCATAGAACTCCCCACCCCTATCAGATCTCACTACTTTGATTTTTCGATCAAGTTGATTTTCAACTTCAGCTTTATAAGCCTTGAACATATCTAGTGATTCAGATTTTTCCTTAATCAAATATAGGTACATATAGCGTGAATAATCGTCTATGAAAGTAATAAAGGACTTATGACCACTTATGGAATCGGGAAAAGGCCCACAAATATCGGTGTGTATTAATTCTAACAAACCAGTGCTTCGTGTGGCGCCTTTCTTAATTTTCTTAGACAATTTCCCTTTCAAACACTTCACACACTTGTCATAATCTGAGAAGTCAAGATTTAGAAGAATTCTGTCTTTCACGAGTCTTATCATTCGATCTCGTGATATGTGGCCCAACCTTTGATGCCACAAATTAGACGACGATTCCAATTCTCTCTTTCTCTTACAAGGATTTTCAGTTATATTAAATGACAAAGGGGATTCCATAAAATTAGTATCTAAGCATAATTTATAGAGATTTCCCTCCATGCTACCAAATCCTTTTACATTTGAGTTTAATCTTATTGTCACTTTATTGTACACGAAATTAAATGTAAAACCATCAGCACTTAGTTTCGATACAGACACTAAATTACGAGTAATATTAGGTACATAAAGAGCATCACGAAGATGAAGAATGAAGCCACTCTCTAAAATTAATGAGATAGTTCCAATGGCCTCCACTTCTAATTCTTCTCTGTTCCCCACCTTAATCACTCTTTGCTTTCTTCTCAATGTCCGGATTGAATGGAATCCCTGCGGTGTGTTTGAAACATGAACCATTGAACCAGAGTCAATCCACCAAGTATTAAGGGGAACTGATGTGTTTAATGATTCATAAATTACATAGGTGGTTAAGTTACCTTTTTTAGTCAGCCATGCCTTAAACTTAGGGCACTCCCTCTGGTAATGCCCTTTGAAGCGACAAAACTTACAGTAAGGACCGGAGCTCACGCTTGCACCTATCTTTGGGACCTTAGAAATGTTACCTTTTCCTCCTCCTTGACGATTGCCTTTCCTTTTCTTTGAGTTTGTGGTGGTGAGATGAGCAACATCTGGTCTTTCAACTTTAAGGCGCTCTTCTTCTTGAACGCACATAGCAATCAACTCGCTCATTGTCCATTTCTCTTTCTGCGTGTTGTAATTAATCTTGAACGGACCATAAGATGCAGGTAGAGAAGTCATTATGAAATGAACGAGGAAACCTTCACTTATTTCCATGTCCATACTTTTGAGCTTATTGGACATATCAGACATTTTCATGATGTGCTCACGAATACCACTCACTCCATCATACTTACTCGTCAACATTTTGAGAATCAAAGAACTAGCATGTGCTTTAGAAGTGCCCTTAAACTGTTCTTCCACATATTCTAGGTAGTTTTTCGCATTTTCTGAGTCTGGAATGGCTCCGCGAATAGCTACAGATATGGAATTCTTGATCACCATGAGGCACATTATGTTGGACCTCTCCCACTGTTCATAAGAACGCTTCTGCTCCACAGTGCTCTCAGCGTTAGGAGCATCCGGTGGATCCATTCTCAGTGCTTGGTCGAGGTCCATCATGCCAAGTGAGAGTTTTACAGATTCTCTCCATGTTGAGAAGTTTGTACCATTTAGAGGTTCTATCCCATAATTGTATGGGGTAACAGTAGATGCTGAAATAAAAGTTTTAACAGAGGTAATACTAGAAGTTATTTATTATATATAAAGGAATACAATAAGGCATGTCAATTATTAGTAAATAAGCCTATTATCAACACCAAATAATAGGTAAAATTCATATCATGTTTAATAACTAACATTGCGTTGGCTAATGTTAAGTATCAAACATTATGATATTAAAATTAAAATTAGGCTCACAAATAGTGTCACATATCACCTTTGGGCAGAAATATAACACACTTTACTATGCTTAAATTTCATTATACAAGTTATCAAATAACAGACCTTTGGGTTTGATAAAAGAAAACTCATATAATTGTTTAAGATAGTCAAAACAAATAATCTTCTGTTGGGCTGATCACTGAATTTGACAATAAGATAATTTTACAACCAATTACTTCTTAAATTGCATATATTCATAAACAAAGTTTCAGATCATACATATCCAATTATAATAGGTTGTAATATGCATTTAGAGTTACATTATACATTCTGTAAAATAAATGATCAAAAAACAAATGGATGTATTACTCTATTAATATTGATGATCTTCGTTATTCATCTTAATCATCATAAAAGGAAACAAAGTTGCATGCATTTTAATAGACCGTACTTGTAACTTAAGTTCATACATTTCTGAAAATCTTAATATTTTTTACTTTATGTTGATCAACCAAAGTGCAGACGGTTGACAAAAAGATTCATACAAATCATATATGAATTTAAAATGAAGAATAAAGCATTATTTATGAATACATACCATAGGCGACAACACTAATACTGGAAATCATCATAGCCGTAATACACTAAATAACAACACTTTAAAATAGTTCTTTTCAGAAGGATCATCAACTAAGTAAATTTGGAAAATTGATATCATCTGTTTATTTAGAATCTCATCTTTTTGTTTTAGTTTTATACTCCATATTAAACAACCGAAATGCATACAAACAGTTTCCAAAAAAAAACTGAGTGGAGAATAAGCATCACGTACAATTAAATAGTGTCGTCATTTGATATTCATAACACCATTTATAAGGATACACGGCAACAATAAAACTAAGCAATTAAAAAGACAACCATCGATTGAGAACCCAGTGAAAAACAAAAACTTGGGGTTACGGCGGAAATTTTCCTTGAATCCCGAATTCATACTCTTCATTGGGATTGACAGAAATTAAAATTAAGTAGTCGCCCCACTCAATAGACTTACGGAATTCTCAATCGGGTCGGCAAACGATGAAGGTTATGAGTGGCAAACAATTCTCCGAATTTTATCAATAGAAGTGAGAATTAACGGGCTAATCTCATCTAAACATGATAAAATTCATATAATCAAACAATAAGAACACTAACCGGTTGAGGAGAAACCAAACGTTGATGGCGAAAATGATGAAGCCATGATGTCTTTGGATTCTCTAAGGATACAAGCGGATTTCGATGGATTAAACGATTCTCCCTTGGGTCTCTTATTATAGGTGTTCTTGAGACCCTTGGGAATGAACGTACGTTTAGTCGTAAGAATTGAATGGGCGGATGCCTTTTATATTTTGTATCAAAGAGAAACCCATTTGATCCCTTATGTATTATTTAATGTTAAAACATACCCATCTTATGTTAACTATACATAAATACAAGGAAAAAATTTGTCATATGGCAAACTTAATGGTAAGACATAAATTTCCCCAATATATATTAAATTATATAAATGGTCCAAGGGCATTTAAGTGGAATATTTTCCAACACCTTGATCTTGCAGCCACCCGCCGCTCTAGCATCAGAAAGATCTTGATCCACTTTTGCCACGAGACTCACCTAAATTTCGGAAGAGTAGTGTCTGACACAAATTTCACGATGAGTCTTTAATTGAGCTTAGTACTATTCGGAAGCTTGGTGGTTTCAAGAGGGATATGATGAGCTTTGAGGTCAGGGGCAGACCGTAGTACAGACCCAGGGGGGCTACTGCCCCCCAACAAGAATATTTTTTAATGTATATATATATATATATATATATATATATATATATATATATATATGAAAAATAATTTTCTCCATCCCAAAATATATTTTGAACCGCCCAAAAAATATTTTCGCCCCTCCAAGATGACTTTCCTAGGTCCGCCCCTATTTGAGGTTCCATTGATACCATGTGGCGGCTAGGGTTCCAGTGAACAAGGTGAATGGTCTGGGTTTCACAGTCACAATGGTAAATTGAAAGTAACTCAACACGAGTCACTAGACATTGCGGTGGATTTCAAATTGGTGGAGTCACTGCCGGTAGATAGTCACTAATTGGTGGAGTCATTGTCGGCGAGTTGTGACTGATGCGGCAACAGTCACTAATGCGGTCCATTGATTCATGGCGGCGGCAGTTTTAGTGGCAACGGCGGCGGCAGTCACTTAGGGATGTCGTGACATGGAAACTAGTCACCTACAAATTCAGTCCAGTAACTAATGGCAGTGACGGCGATGTTAGTGGTGACGGTGGTGACAATCACTGATGGATGTCGTGAGATAGAAGGTAGTTATTAATGCGGTCTAGTGACTAATTGCGGTGGCGGTGTTAGGATGTTTTTACTTGGACTGTAATTTGCTGGTCTGGTCTGCTCTAATCTGGTCTGGTCTGGTCTGGTCTGGTCTGTTTTGGTCTGGTCTGTTTTGGTCTGGTCTGTTTTGGTCTGGTCTGTTTTGGTCTGGTCTGGTCTGGTCTGAAATTTGATTTTTTACTCCCTCCGTCCCTTAAAGGTTTGCCATGTTTGACCGGTACGTAGAATAATAAAGTAAAAACTGTGTGGTGGAAATTTGTGCAGAGGAGAGAGAAATAACAGGAGCCACAAATTGATTGATTAAAAGGCAAAGTGGCAAAGTTTTTGGGACAACCAAAAAAGGAAAGTTGGCAAAGTTATAAGGGACGGAGGGAGTATATTTTTTGCATAAATATTTTTATTTTTTATATATATTGTATAATCCATAAATAATTATATTTTATTCATTTATAATTAAAAATATTAGTATTCCTTCCAAATTATCGAAAATTGTTATCGTTTTACTTGGTCTGATTTCAATCCCAGACCGAAGCAGATCAGACCAGACCAGACCAGACCAGACCAAAACATAACAAACCATATCGAACCGGAATAACAATAATAATAATTATTATAATAATAATAACAACTACAACAATAATAATAGTAATAATAATAATAATAATAGTAATAATAGTAGTAGTAGTAATAGTAATAATAATAATAATAATAATAATAATAATAATAATAATAATAATACCTCTGTCCCTTAAAACTTTTCCAAAGTTGACCGGCACGGAGAATAATAAATTAAAAACTGTGTGGTTGAGATTTGTGCAGAGGAGAAAGAAATAACAGAAACCACAAAATAATTGATTAAAAGGGAAAGTTGCAATGTTTTTTGGGACGTCCAAAAAGGAATGATGGCAAAGTTTTAAGGGACATAGGGAGTAATAATTAGGGGCGTGCACTACACGGTTTAAACCGGAAAACCGGACCGAACCAGACCAGAAATACCGGAACCGGATCGAACCGGAATGATATCCGGTTCGGTTCGGTTCGGTGCGGTCCGGTCCGGTTTTGAACCGGTGCACACCCCAAATAATAATAATAATAATAATAATAATAATAATAATAATAATAATAAAAATAATAATAAATATGGTCTGGTCTGGTCTGGTCTGGTCTGTTTTAGTCTGATCCGGTTTGGTCTGGTCTTTTTTGGTTTGGTCTAGTTTGGTCTGGTTTGGTCTGGTCTGGGACGAATTACAACCCAAGTAAAAACAACCTTATTGGCTGCGGCATTTGTGTTAATGGAGGCGGCGGCACTGGAGGTGGTGGTTGTTGGGGTGGCTGGACAACATTACATATTTATTAATTATTATTATTATTATTATTATTATTATTATTATTATTATTATTATTATTCTTGCAAGGACCTAACTATTAACCATTAGAAAGGAATGTTATAGTAATAAATGTAATATTAAATAAAAAGCTTCAATAATATAGTAAGTAGTTTTGGAAATTTTCAAAAGGGGTCATATTTTCGTGTTTCACAAATAGTTTAGTGATCTTCATAAAAAATCACAATAATAATAACAATAATAACAATAATAATAATAATAATATAATAATAATAATAGTGATGATGATGATGATAATTATAATGATAATGATAATGATGATAATAATTATAGTAATAATAATAGTAATAACAACAATAACATTAATAACAACAACAACAATAACAACAACAACAATAATAATAATACCAATAACAATAATACCAATAAAAATACTAATAATAATAATAATATTAATAATAATAGTAATAGTAATAATAGTAATAGTAATAACGATGATGATGATGATATATAAATAATAATAATAACTTCATAACTTCATCAGAATGGGTTGATTCGCCA